AAGGCGGACTATAAACCCTAAACCCTAAACCCTAAATAGTAGTTTCCATTTTCTTTTCCATTATCCCCTATATAACCACTATATTACTATATAACCCCAATATAACCCCAATATTCCATCTACTTAAGGGGGGCTATAATACCATCCCCCCAAAGGCACCATCCAGGGTTAAAGGAGTTGATCTCATCGGCACTACATCGGGCTGAATAAGGCTAAATAGGATTCCCAAATATGGGGGGGGGGACTTTTGGAGGGAAACATATTGAAAGACAAGGTTTATGGTTCAAGAGGAATTGGGCACTCAGGATGTTTTTAAACGGTTTTGTAAGTTATACCTGGGACCCTGAGGGTCCAGGGTAATCGCCACTCTTAAGTTAAATCCCTTGTATTATTCAATGAAGAATCCAATGGCCTAACCATCCTGAAGAGCTTGGGTACTGCCCCCCCTCACTAACACTTGCATAATAAATATACTATGGTTATATACAGCCCTGAATAGGACCCCTAATATAGACTGTTACTTGGTGGGGGCAGTGCCCAGTGAAGAGCCAACGAGGATCCCCCTGATGATGAATTAGGGAGAATCAGGGAGGGTTTTGAGGTCGTCGGGTTATCAAACATCGAACCCTACACCCTTAAGAGACCACCAGGTATTGGGCATTTGTTTGGTTTCGCACATATGTTTGTCATTGTGTTCATACGGTTTTCAAAAGGGAACTCGTATACATTTGGTATGAATCGGCTTTAGTTAGTTAGGTTAATACATTCATGTAGGTTAGATGGATGTTAGTTGGTCGTATGATACTTATGATCTTAATTAGGCTTTGATTCGTTTTGATTTTGTCTTTGAATTATTTTGATGACAGTGTGATTGATTTCTGTTGGTTTTTTGGTGGTTATGATTTAGATTTACATTGAATTTTTAGATTGTAATTAGAGTGAGATTTGTTGGTTTGACTAACGTCCATTCGATTTCTAATCAATCTAAATTAGGTCATTGTTTGTACCCTAAGCCCTAAACCCCTACACCCCAAACCCTAAACCCTAAACCCAATTCGGGTTGTATTTGAGCTCAATCCGACTTGAAGCTGATTTGAGTTCGCTTTTCAATCGGTGCTCATGAAAGCTTACTCGGTTTGAAGTCGGTTTTGTTCGATTTTGATTTTGAACTATTTTGATTGGTTGTTACCGGTTTTTAGTTGGGTGCTGAATTATAGTACTTTGTTAAGATTTTGCATTGATTTTCATTAGGTTTGAAGTGGTTTGAACTCGCTTTTGGAGTCGTGTTAATGATTTTAATCAGGTTTGAAAACATTCTGATGAGATTTTAAGCGATTTTGGTTAGGTGTTAGATGGATGCCGATTAGATCTTAATTTGATTCATTAGGATTTAAAAGCTTTTTCTTAGGTTTCTGCCTAATGCCAAGCCCAGAACACTGCAAGGGCTTGACAGGAAGCCATTTCCAATTCTATCAAGAAATTACTTCCCTCCACGAATATCACATATTTTTCGGGCTGCAGATTTTTCAATATTGCGGGAGGGAACGTCGATTAATAGTACGGCGAAGGGATTACAAAAGCCATTGAGATTAGATTGTTTGGGACCTAAAATCCTCGTATTTAGGTACGTGGACCTTACAGGCAAGGGACTCCAAGGAAATTTTAAAGCGTCAAACTTTACAAAGGAATATGCCTACACGACAATTCTGTACAACCATCATGGTACGTCGTTTTGTTGCTATCTCCGTTTACACCACTGTGGATTGTATTTGTTGATGGGGTCTGTACTAGACAGCTCCGAAGGCTCCCAGCTACACGGAGTGTATCGGCGTGTGATGTGAGCAATAGTCTAAACTCCTTAAAGGGGGATTATATAAGGGGATTATATAGGGGACTACTATAGGGCTTATTAAGGGGGATACCAGGAGTTTAGACAGTAGCTCATGTAGTTTTACTTGGAGTAGCACTGCTGCCATGCACCTGCATTAAGGTACGGCCATGAGGGTTATGTAGGGGGTATACGAGGGCTATACTGACACGTAAAGATTAGGGTTTTCAGGCAAATTGTTCATTGAAAGACTTCTGGGCTCGCGGAATGCTTTCAATCACGTCAGAAGTGTTCTCGTGGCTGGACGGCAGTCATACTGCCAGGGACTGCTACTGTACGATTCCTACAGTGTTTCCCAGTCCCACTCTTAGGGCGAGTTTCTTTTGCTACAGTTGGGCTACTGTTGCTTGATTGCACTTTCGACTGCGCTGTTCTTGTTCGCGGGCCTATGATGCCCAATTCTACCTTGTATTGGACCTGGTATCGTCATTGCTAGTATTGTACTACAGCAACAGCATTGTTGAATCATTTTCTCAACCAATTTCATTCTAGTTTTGGTTGGCATGTGGCCAGTCATGGCAGTGCCCTGCAGCAGGAGTACGTGCAAAAGACGGGTGTGGACCTGTCTGACCCAGAGATTCCCCCCGAGATGGAAAGGCTGTTGGGATATGCCTCTGCATGAAGTAGGGATCAGTATGGTTTTCATCCGTGCTTTGATCAAACCAGCATTTTCCCTCAAGACGAACAAGAGGAGAGGACTACCTCGGCTTAGTGTCCAGTTATGACTCTTCTGTTTGCAATTCATACAAGCCTACATGTCTTCCCAAGAAGGTGTGCCAATTTGGCATTTCCCAAGCTGCCATAACTTGATTCCCATCGTGAGGCTCTGGTCCATGGTGCAAAAGGATGGTGCAGCAACCAAAGGTGGCCGCGTCACTGGGCTCGAAGATAAAGCTCGACTATCATGGTATAAGAGTGCAGTAGCGCAATTCTGCGATGATATCGTCGTGTGGTCGCTAGAGGAGTGCAAGCTTGAAGTCAGGATCGATAGCAGGAAGGCCAAAGCCATCACTGCCAGAACCCAGCTGGAGCCAAGAAGAACTTGTATGAGAGTTTCTCCGTAGATGATCCTTAAGGGGAACCCCTCCAAGGGCCTCCGTCTTGAGAAAGTGTCAGAAGTCGCCAGCACCGCTGTACGTGTGTTTCCTTAGTTGGGGAATGGGCGAATGGATCCTTCGCAGTCCCTGCTCATGGTCTACTCATTCCCCATTCCATGGGCTGAGGTGTTCGCGGAAGCAGAAGAGCGGGTGAAGCAGCCTCCAGCACAAGCACAAAGGCCAGTGCAATGTGCAGTGCTATCGTGCATCATGAAGCATGTTCATCCTCAGCCTATTAGAGATATCGCAAAGCCATAGCTCCTTTCTCAACACCCCAACAGAGGTTTAGGAATCATAAGGGTAAATCCCTGGGGTGGCAATCTGTTGAGCTGCAGGCCACAGTCCTGCCAGTGCCGACACGTGGCGCCTGGCCCATGCTTGAGTCACTTTTAGTGGTTGCACATGGTTGCATGCAGACTCAGTCTTGGAGGGTCAGGTGGACAAATGAGGTATAGAGAGTTATGAGCCCTGTAAGCCAAATGGGAACCCCAGTTGTTCCCACTCATTGTCAACCCCCCATTTACTTTCCAAGTAATCCATAAACCCTAAACCCTAAATAGTAGTTTCCATTTTCTTTTCCATTATCCCTATGTAACCCCTTTATACCCCTATCCCCATATAATAATCCCTATAACAACATCCCAAAACCATGACGACCGCTCCCCGGCCCCAGGCATCCGTGGTGGCGGCAGCCATGGGTGCTCATCTACGGGAGGTGCCAACACTGGGATTGATTATAGCCCCCCTTAGGTAGATAAAATATGGGATATATGGGGATCTTGTTATAATATGCCCAAAGCCATATTTTATCTACTCAAGGGGGACTATGTCATCCGGGCAGGAGTCTCCCAAGAAATTTTCCTGCTTCGTGTAGAGAAAGGACGCCAAACAGACCCCCAACCTGTGATATGGGGTTGTCAAATCGTTATGCAACCCTGTGACGAAGCCTGTACAAAAACCCAACTGTACAACTGGGGCAGCACTTGAGTAGCAATGGCACGGGTCATACCAATACACACGCGGTTTGAGGTTTAAGGGTTTAGGACAAGAGCCCTGGCCCGATGATGAACCGCATGAGTGATGGGATACGTGCCCTTGTGGCTTGTCAGAACAGGTCTCAAAGTTATATTGGGATTATGGTTTCTCACCGGCTCTTAGTAGGGAATGAGGGTACAAATTATGTAGGGCCTAAACCTTAAACCCTATAACCCCATAACCCTATGACCCTATAACCTCTTAAACATGGGATTGTGATTGAGGCTTGGAAGTCCCTTCACAAAAAGTGTTCAGCCCAGACTCGCAACCGTGCAGGTGGGCTTTGATCCTGCTAGCAACGTGGCTCCAGTTTTGAGTGCATCGAAGATGAAGGGTTCAGGGGCAAGGTTTAGGGTTTTAGGGTTTATGGGGTTTAGGGTCTAGGGTAATCTTTGTAACTTTTGCCTGTAGATCACCCCGCAAGGCGCTACGTCAAAGGCCCCTGATGTGATCAGGATGTCTAAGCATGCGCCAGAGAAGGCCCGTGGGTGGGAAGCTCCTGGGATCTGTATATCTTATGGCAATATTACAGTCCCCAATGCAGAGAAAGTTTATGTCCTCCTTGTGGTTGTTGTATTTGACAAACAAGACAGTTTTCCTTGGTTCAACCACGCAAAAACGCTACTCACCGGATTTTGCAACTGTAGCTCCTCCGCAGATCTCAGGCGCCGAAGGTGATTGGGCGTCTCCGCTGCATGTGAACTACTGTTAGTATTAGGCTCAGTAAGGGACCCTTTACAGTGGACATAGGAGTACCTCTTGTAGTTTAGTGTCGTCCCGAGTATAGTCCCTAGAAAGGAACCCATGTCCATTCAATAGGAAATATTGTCTGTAGCTCGTGTGGCAATCTCTGGCCCTTCCAGAGGGTTCTTTGGAATACCCACGTGTAGGGCCACTTTTGCAGTGGATGGCCGAATCTGAGAAGCAGTAATCACTCCTATCTCCGAATAACCCTCAACAATTGTTAAAACCGGGTTTTATACAGGTCTGGGAGGATTACCACTTGTTCCGGGGCTGGGAGCCCCCCAATCTTTCAGGGAACAAGTAGTGTAGTTTGATACAGATGTCATACTAGAGAAGATCGTTTGTGGTCAATACCATTGAGGTGTATATAATTCTGCCGGAGAACTAGGTCTTCAAAGCATCCATTTTGGTTCAGGAACCTTTGGTCAGCTGACACTTTCCAATCTGTCTAACTTCAAGATGAAGGTCTGGAGTGCCACCGACGTTTCCCACATGCTGGACCTTTTCACCCTCACTGAGGCACGCAGGACGAACAAACCACTACATGGTAGTTTCCCAACATAAGGGGACCCTAATATAGACCCCAAAATACTATAATCCTTATTATAGGGGCCCCCAAAAAGGTACACCCAATTATGGCAAATTCCTACATGAGAAGCCCACGCTTAGGAGCCTGCGCCTCATGCCCCAGACAGAGCTGTTCAAATTAGCAAACCTTATTGCTAGGTCAGAACCTGGCAAGTTTTTTTCTAGAGTTTTCCTGGTGTTGCCCCCCCTTGAGTTCCTTTAAGCTTCAGCCTTGGGACCATTGTTGCACCTCTGAGAACTGAGTCTGCGTGTCTCAACTAGGTATCCCATGGTATCCCTCGGAACTCGCAGCTTTGCGTGGTTTCTCGTCGTTTGTCGGCTTTCTGACTTGCAGCATTAGCAATGATCCTGCAATTGTGAGTAAAGTAAGCTCACCACTTTATTGGCGAGCCTCGCCCCCTCCTGGTCCTGCGCTTCCGCCTGATCCTTTAAGCTGCAACTATATTTGCCCTTCGCAGAGCTGAACGTGCATGCTTCGACTACTGGGTTGCTGCTAAGGATCTTGAATTGAGTGACCATAATAGGTACACATGGTTTCACACAGACTACGTATCCCTAAGAACGGTCGGCTTCGTGAGGTTTTCGCATCTTGCCCAAGCGTAGCCTACATGTCAGGTCAAGACGCTCTGCTGATGGCACAGAAGTAGATTCGTAGATCATTACACTGGATACTACGATCCTGCATAATCTTGTTACACTATGCTGTCATAACTCCGAAGGTATAAGGGGCTCAGGGCTATGCAGGGTTCTTGACATGAACCGGAAACATTGCAGCACACTTGTGAAAGAGACATTCACGGAGGACCTGGATGAGTTCAGGCTCAGCCCGTAAGGAAGTGAGATGCCTAAGTTTAGGGTTGGGGTTTAGGGTTTAGGGTTTAGGGCCTAAGCCCTAAACCCAACCCTGAACCCTAAATTCAGGCGGCACCTCGCATTCGACCACCATCTTGAAACTACGGTCCTTGAGCTCTCCTCTCATGACTGTTGGAACATCTAGGGCAGGTGCAAATTGTGTGGATTTTGCAACGCAGGACCCTTCAAGAAAGGAAAGGGACTTTCCGGGCAACCCCTTACATACCTCATATATCATAGACCTTAGTATAGGTACCCCCCACCCCACCCCCCAAGCAGGGACCCCTAACTTCTGGAAGGCACCAAATCTGCATTGAGACAGCACGTACGCAAGTTGATGATCAGGAGGGCTTGGAGGATCCCAATCTTTCCTTTCTCTACCTCCTTGGCGAGGCAGGACCTGCAGTATGGCTAAAGCAGCCTCCGAGTTCAGAGTTTAGCGTTTTAGGGTTTGGGATTTAGGGTTGAGGATTTGGGATTTAGAGTTTAGGGCTTGGGATTTAGGGTATGGGGTGTGGGGTTCAGGATTTCCCTGCTTCTATGTCTGGGCTGTTTTCAATCTCGGGGCCCTTCGTTTCCAGGTTACCCAAAGGGGCCCTAAATCCTGAAACCTTGATTCACGTAAACGTATTCTTTCTTTCTGACCCAAGTCGTTCCTATTGTTGTCGCGTCGTTTTGATCTTCATTATCTTATCACGTACTTCCTTTCAGGAGGCACTGAGTACTCAACTGCAACACGATGCAAAGTGCTGTGAGTGGTGAGGGTGATAGCCCTCCAGGGTGTGTGTGTGTGCGCGCGCGCGGGTGTGTGTGTGTGTGTGTATATGTGTGAGAAGCCCTGTCTCCCAGGGGTGCAACATCAACAGACCGCAACAACAGACTTGTACATGCGGAGCTTCAAGCGTGAGCCGGTGGTGCCACACACATGTTTCATGCATGTTTGTGATGATTTTATGCGTGAACCGAAGAAATCGACACATGATGTTCTGAGTGCTTGGGAACACCATCGAGAGCCGTGCTCATATCATATATGAAGGGGGCGACGGGGACTTTCAGGAATGGCTGTCGCCAGCGACGCTTCATTTGAAAGTCCAGGAAAACGTATCTGCATGTGGAGTATCTGGGCAACAGCGTTGCAGCTGGTATCCACAAGAAGTGTAATGAACATGAGTCCGTGTGAGTCGTGAACATCAGTTGATCCGGGAGCGTGCCAATTTTCATGTCCATGTGACTCAAGCTCAAGTGTGATTCGGCAGGCCTTCCCATAGGGCGCTTGTCGTGGATCCTCGAAAAGAGGGTCCCCGAAAGAGAAGACGTGACGAGACAAGGACTTTTTTCCCCCCTGGCCATGCCAATGTGGCCAACAGAAGCATGGATCTGTGCGAAAATTTTTTGACAGCTTGTTGGAGACAGTCTGGCTTCAATTGTTGAGCAGCAAAGTGCACATTTGTTTGAACCTTCCAAGATTGTTGCAAACAACTTTGGCATTCATGTCCTAAGCCGACTCCCTTGAGAAATTGAGCAGGTCACTTGCAAACTTGAAGCAGTGTTTTGCAAAAAGCCAGCAAGCCGTCGCTTGTTGGTTGGTTGGCGCGTGTCACGTAGTCTGCAAGGTGCAGGGCTTGAGTCATAGGTTTTTCGGACTGTTGCAGAAGTGTATTTTGTTGTGGAGGAATAGCCAGACAATTTTTGCGCAAGAAACGGGGACCAGAGGACGCTCACCAGGGGCTGCGACCAGCAGCGGGGACCAGAAGTTGTACCAGAAGCTATGACCAGAAGCCATGACAAGTTGTCAATGCTACCTCGCATTGGGTTTCACCAAGCACGATTTCGGAAGTTGTGGCGGTGACAAAGTTTGCATGCTCATGTAGCTTCCGCGTGTGAGAAGCCCTGTCTCCAAGAGTACAACATCAACAGACCGCAACAACAGACTTGTACATGCGGAGCTTCAAGCGTGAGCCGGTGGTGCCACACACATGTTTCATGCATGTTTGTGATGATTTTATGCGTGAACCGAAGAAATCGACACATGATGTTCTGAGTGCTTGGGAACACCATCGAGAGCCGTGCTCATATCATATATGAAGGGGCGACGGGGACTTTCAGGAATGGCTGTCGCCAACGACGCTCCATTTGAAAGTCCAGGAAAACGTATCTGCATGTGGAGTATCTGGGCAACAGCGTTGCAGCTGGTATCCACAAGAAGTGTAATGAACATGAGTCCGTGTGAGCCGTGAACATCAGTTGATCCGGGAGCGTGCCAATTTTCATTTCCATGTGACTCAAACTCAAGTGTGTGCGCACAAGACCCCATTTTCAAAACTACAGCTTGGGGTTTTCCCGGTGCTGTGAAAGATTCGCAGTCACATCTCACGTAGGGTAGATGCCGACTATGGTTTTGGCAGTTTTGCTTGTTGCGTGGCAGTCCTGGGGGAACTGTATGAAAGCGGCCGTTGAGGTTGACCACCTCAAGCACTTGCCAGTGGAAGAGGGCGAACATGTTTCGCATGAGTCCGCGCAACGCTCCATGATCAAAGGCTGGGTGGATGTTGAGTGAATCTGGGGGTTGTTTCTGGTCTTTATCGCAAAGAAGTGGCGCCTAGGTGATAGCTGGGAATCTCCATTACGGTATAATTTCGCTTCGATTTTCGTTGCTAGCCTCGGGGACGACTGCAAACTGATGTGGTAAGCACAGCAGTAAAGGCTCTGGTGCTGATAAGGATCGCAACAGTTATGCGCAGAAGTAGCGTTTATATGCTGATGTGAATTGCTAAGTTCGTGCCAAGTTGGGTCGGCCGCAGCAGCGAAGAGCATTCATGGGTTCAGATGCCGGCAAGATGAACTATAGCAGAAGCACTGGCGCAAATGATGCCAAGAGGTCAATTGATATAAACAAAACAACCTAAGCCTCCAAGTAGGTGTCAGCTGAGCTTGCAGGTGTCCTTGTGGGATTGCCCATGCCAGCGACTTATGAACGCATGCCTTGCGCAGTGGATTGAGTAAGCATGCATGTAACGGTTGGAGTATCGTCAGGGCGCAGAACTATTTGGCGCACCTGGCGCGAGCCTCAGGGTGACTCTCGGTTGTCCCTGTGCAGCTTTTGAAGTCAGGATGTCAAGCAGGGTGCCGGCGATGATGTAAAAGCCAACTACGCCGCAAAAGAAAAATGGTTCCTCTTCCTCAACATCGCCTGGGCAGTGTTCCACGCCGCATGCTGAGTTGCTGAGGATGATGGTCAAGTTCAGATATCATGAGCAGAGCATGCTTGCCTTCCTGCCGATGCATAGTGGACTGCAAAATGTACTGCTCAGAGCAGATAATCTGGACATTTCCACCTTGGCTGAGCCAGCACGGGCTCCCTGCCGCTACTAGAAAAACGTCTGCTCCTTAAAGACCCCGCCCGACTTGCCTGAATTCATGTGTTTTCCAACAAGGAGAATGAGCAAGTGGGCATTGGCGAGTTTGTGCGGGTGTCCCAAAAGCACCGCCAGCAAAACGTGGCTCTGGGTCTTCTGGTTTCTGCATTTGCTGTGCTTTCGACCTTCAGCCCCTTGCATCTGTTTATCAGCTTCCTATTTCCGAGTTGTAGTATCCCCCCCTTTCCTGTGGGAGAGGACTTGTTGCAGAAGACAGTTACACGTCTGGCCGCAGCTTCAACGCGGCAGGGTGTGGCAGAAAGGTTCTTCAAACCTTTTCCTCAGCTTGATCTTTGCCAGCACTCACCTCAGGTTGGGATGGCATCAACTTCAAGGAAACTAACCAAGATGCCTTCAATGACTTCAATGTTGCGCTGTACACGGTGTGGCTCCTCACTTGCGTGAATAGATAGTTAGATTGGGATTTGGGATTTGCAGTCGATGTAATAGCAGTTAGTAGTTCTATTTCTACGTTTTTCCTTCTACTACCACCGCCACTACTGCTTCTTCTTTTTCGCAGAGCTTCAACCCAAGCATTGTAAAAATACTGGTAGGGATTCGTGTTGCAAGTAAGTTGACTGCTTATAGTTAGATGCTTCCCAAGGTTCCTAATCCAACCACCACTGCCACAACCACTGCCACTGACTGACTTGGATGTGGTCCTTCCATCTGAACTTATCCAGCAAACCTGCTGGATGGCCCAATCCCGCCCTAAGCCATGCTGCTCCGACATACTGTGGATGGAGAGAATCTTGCACTACTTAGGATATATCAGGTGGTGCAAGATTTCCTCCACCCACAGTAGCTCAGGAACTACCGCTGGGTGCGGGCCCTCTTTGAGCCTCGGCGCCTTCAGTTCCACTTCTGGAATGCCCTTGCGCTTCCCATGCTCGAGGCCGGTGAGCATATCGCAGAATGCGACCATGATGATGGGTTTAGGGTTTAGGGTTATGATCTAGCTTCGTTTGCTATGACTTCTCCCCTACCTGTAGCTTGTACGCAGTTTCTGCTAGCTTGGACCTGTGATGGAAGGCTGTCTCAAGTCGCTTTTTCGAGAATAGCAGGGTTCCAAGGTACTTGATTTGAGTTACTACCTCCCCTCACGTGAATCCAAGCGGAGGCTTCGGGGGGCAAGCTGGGTTTTGAAGGAAGTCGGTTTCAGGCAAAGAGGTGCCCTCATTTATGTGCATCTATTCGGAAGCTTCCTTGCCTGCCCAAAAGCTGGTGGGCACATTTGCTCACAACAGCATGGGCAGCATAGTCACGTCGAATTCACCAAGAGGAGCGCAATTGTCAAAGCAATCACGCCAGCCAACTGGACCGGCAAGGCGCTGCTACTATTTCACAGTACCGATAATTGAAAATCAAACGGAAAAAAACTTGAAAGACAATTAGATAGGCACTGGGATGATATAAGGTGGGTACTTAGACATCCTTTATGAACCCAAACCTTGGAAATTATTCTATCATAACGTACTGAGGTTGGGCAGGTTTGTGCGTATTAACAGCATGCTCTATCTCAACGCAGGCATGCGCTTTCTTGCGTGTTGAAGACCGTTAGAAAGCCAGAAGAATCAAACGCGACTGAAGCCCTACAGAAGTCCTAGAAATGCCAGGTTAGACCCTACACTCTAAACCCTGAATTCTAAATAAACATTAAGCCCCAGACTCTAAACAAAAATCAAACCCCAAACCTTAAACAACCACTAAACCCCAAATCCAAAACAAACACGACACCCTGAATATTAAAAACGCACCCAAAATCCTAACGCCTCCAGGCCCTGGGCAACAAGGGAAGCTCAGCTTACTGGGTCAACTACCGGAGAGATGGGCTGATGGCAGCCCTGATTAATCTCTCCCCCTTGCCGGAGGACTGTTTGGGTTTAGGGTTTGAGGTTTTAGGGTTAGGGGTTTAATTCTGAAAGCATGGTTATACAGGGATAATTCTAGACGCATGGTTGTACAGGGATCATATCGGCATATGTAGGGATATTACAGCAGAATGGAGAAGAGCATGGAAACGACATCGAAATTGTTGCTACTATCATTGATGCTTTGGGGGGCAACTAAGTACCAACCATGACAAATCGAATAGAATATGAAATGGGCCTAGAGATGCGGTAGCAGTTGACAACCCAATGGAAAAGAACATTGACAATTACACGCAAACTGGGTTTGACATGGGATGATGTAGGGATTGTGTAACATAGAGGCCTTATTCATGATCAACTTTACGACCCTAGCTAGGGTTTGGGGTTTAGGGTTCCTGGTAGAATTCTGGTATAGGGTACCCCAAGAAGACCTCCACACAATATCGATAATTATTATTCAGGCATCTAACTACATCTCTTCCAAGAGCTTCCGGATGCCATCGTTGGGGCTCTCATATCAAGGAATCCCACACTTTGAAGTTACCTTGTGGGAATGGCGGTTTGGGGCTTCCTGAACCCTAAACCCTTTTTGGCGCGGACAGTTTGAGTCTATTTCTTGAGCTGCCTTGCCTGCTTGGGGTTGGTGTTGCAACTTGAGTATTCACCAACGGCACTGACTTGCTGGTTCTTAGTAGGGAGTAAGGGAATATAGCCCCTATAATTATATAACGTATTCCAATATTCCCTACTAAGAACCGTAAGCTGATGTGCAGTAAGAAGCAGACTTAGCAGCAGCAAGCTCATTAGGTACCGCAGCCTCATGTGCTTAGATGATATCGTTCACCACATCACATTTAGCAAGGCAGAGCCGTTCCCATACAATATGGGATGCCATTTTTGTGGTGGATACGGGGTTATATAGGGTGTGGGGTTTGTACCGATGCAGCTTGGGACTATCTGGTCGCGCTCTCAAATTCGCGCAAGCACCCTAGATGGAGTGCAGCGCCTGTGCAATTTCAGCAAACGCCTTAGCTGGCCCGCCGAGATAAATCCAAAGGTGACCCTTAACAACAACATCGTCGCTCTCTGAGCTGACCACATGCTGCGCAAATTTAAGGGCAACAAGCCTGGGTCCAGCTAGGGCATCAAGCCTAACCGCTTCGAGCTCATCCTGTACTTGAGCTTCAGATAGGGTTGTGACTGTATCTTGCCTGCTCTGCCGAGTCTGCAGCTGCGGACAGGACTTCTCTGGTGCCAGTGTGGCCCACCACTGCTTAGGCCCAATCAGGGGCATAGCTGGCAATTTATCCAAACTCCTGTTTGCAGTGCGCCCAGCATCTGCACCTGAACTTGTGATGTCGGCTTCAAGATAGACACGGAGGCAACGCTCAGCCTTCCGGAGATGATCTTTCAGCCGGGAAGTGGTCCAGAACTGGGTGCCACAAACTTCGCAACAAGTGCCTACTGCAACAGACGTGGCAGCTGCTGGGACACCATGTGATTTAGCTTTATGGGATGCCTTAGCCCTGGCGTCCCAAAACTTGTGCCCGCATAGCTCGCACTCAACCTGGCCACGCACACTCCCACCATGCCCATCAGGTACTGACAAGACAACGGCCCCATGCTCCTCAAGCGTATTCAAGGCCTGGGCTCGGTTGAGTGCCTTAGCTTGCATGGCCTGATTCTCATGAACTCGCTGTTTCTTGAATTTGCGCAAAACAATCTTGGCATCAACCTGAGAAGCAACCCCAGAAAGAAACCATCCAAATCTGCCTTGCTCGTCGCAGGGCAACGGCGGGATGCTGACTTCTCCAGTGACCTGACTGACCCTCAAAAGCGAGTCAGCTGCGGCATCCAGCCATCCTTTGGCTTGAATGGCAGTGCCCCAGAGGAATGCGTCATTCGAAGCCGCAAGCTGAAGAAGCTGACGAGACTGTGCGCAGCACAAAGCGTCGGCTGGCCCCAGACACCCGACAACAACGCAAGCGTCACTGTCCGACATGAACATACTGGTCACACCAGTAATTGGCCTAACCGCACGCCTCACAAACGACATGTAAGCAGCATGGAAGGCTTGCCACGCAGCTTGGCGGTCAAGGCGCCAAAGCCCAGCCCCGTGGGTGAATTTACTGAGGATGAGCGACTGCACGAGCATGACCTTTTCTACGTGAGAAAGCCACTGGCTAAAAAGCAGGCGATTGTAGAGTGGCTGAAAAGCTGCCTCAGTCAGCTGCTTCCGTCTACGAATATCCTCTGTGTGATGCCCATCAAAGCTGGCAGTAGTACCTAGATGGAGGTAGCAGGGCACGCAACGGAGCCAAACTGTTTCCTGCTCAAGATCAACAGGAATCAACGCACGTTGCTCAACAAGCACCGCCTGCCTCACAGCCTTGGCTCCTTGCCCGGCAAAATGCAAGATTGCTTCCGTCTTGCCAGGTTGGAAGTTAAGGTGGACGTTAATCATTTGCATGGCCTCGTGCGCAATGCGGGTTGCCCGGGCAACAATCAAGGGAAGGGAAGAGGCATCCTGTGACTCAAGCAAGATCGCAACATCGTCCAACCATGTGGGCAGCGGGGCCTTTGCAACCTGCACTTCAAAGGTGGTAAGCCGATTGTGCAACACAATACGCATTCCTTCAGTCTCCAGGTTGGTTAACATTTCGTCCGAAGCGATGACCATGACCGCCTGAAACAGCACATCAGCCAAGGGAGAGCCGGGTATTGTGCCTGCAGAGGTACGAAATACCTTGCCATGGTCAGTGATGGTCGTGAACCATGTGGCAGCAAAGGTGGAAGCCAACGTGTGTTGTATAGATTGCGCAACATCCATGCGAGCAAGTTGCGAAGGACCTTGCAACAACGCCACTAGTTTGTCCTTAAGTCCGGGCCTTATGGGCAAACTATCTATCCATCCCTGCACATCAGCCTGCTCCCCTGGAGGAAACAGAAAATGTCTGGCCGTAGAATAGAATGCGCTCACCCCATCAAGAAAGAGAACCGCACCACTCCGGTGGAGTCTCTTGAGCTTGTCAACGTGGGCCTGGACCGTCATCGCTGTAACCGCCATCGGTGAGCCTTTACGCCCACCGGACAAGCCTGGGGTCGCGACATGACGCAACGATTTTTCCAACGACCCACGCATTGCCTTAGCGAGCGCTTTGAAAGCTGGCTCCTGCAGCGCGATGCTACGATATCCACTTAGCTGGGTCAACGGCTTCCCTGGCTTCGGCACCGCAGCCACCAAGCAACCTCTCCACAGAGTTGGGGTATACCCCGGGCAAGGATTTTGAGGTAAACTGGCATATGCAAGTGTGCTGCGGCGACTGGACAAGCTTTAAAAACGTCTGCAGGCAAACCTGATAAGCCAGGAGCCCGCCTTCCTTTCATGCGCGCGAAAGCCTCCGCAACTTCTGCAACAGTAGGGAAACCCGCAATGTCGACCGAGTCATCACTGCTGGGCGCCGTTCCGCAACCGATCACGTCAACGAAGTCAACTTCCTGGGCCTTTTCAGCAGTCGCAAAGAACCTACCAAGCTCCAACTTGACCTCTTGAGGGTCTTCAACAGTTCGCCCGTTAACAGTCAAGCATGGTGAAAGCCGCGGTGGCTTATAGCGGCGTCCTGTTTTCAACACAGCCCGGAGAAGGCCATGCAGGGAGCGACTGCCATCTGCCCGTGCCGTGCATGCTGATACATCCTCCTTGTAAAATCAGCCTCATCTCGCCTTACGCAAACCCTCAGAGAAGCGCTGAGACCTCGCAAAACCCTGGCAAGCTTAGCATTTGCAATGCCAAGACGCGCAATGCGGATTGCAAGCTTGTTGTTGCTCTCAGTCCTTCCAACTCGCCTGAACAAAGCCCTCCAAGCCCGGAACACGGTATGCGCAAGAATCTTCCTAGCCAGGCTGCTTGACCTATGCATGATCCTGCGCACTTGTCTCCTCGGTGCAATGATGGCCCACGCCTCTCCTGACAGAGCTGGGTTACGAGGGCGCCCTGAACGGGGAAACTCCTTAACAAAACAATGCAGGAGGTATTCATTGATGTGGGCAACATGATTATCAGCATCAACACTCCAGTCCACAAACGCAAAGATCCTCTCAGCCTTTTGCCTGCCTTCGGGAGTGTGAAGCTGCTCAACGTCTATGCCAGCGCACGGACGACGGCCACCAAGTACAACCCAAGCTTGCGC